ACTTAAATTTAAATCTTGCTTCATAGTATTGTAATTTAAAAAAATGTAATTTAAACAACAGGATGAGGCAGTGGTGCATTGGGTAGCATGTTCGCCTCACAGCAAGAGGGTCACTGGTTCGAACCTCGGCTCAGTTGGCGTTTCTGTGTGGAGTTTGCATGTTCTCCATGCCTTTGCGTGGGTTTCCTCCGGGTGCTCCGGTTTCCCCCACAGTCCAAACACATGTGGTACAGGTGAATTGGGTATGTGTGTGTGTGTGTGTGTGAATGTTTCCCAGATGGGTTGTGGCTGGAAGGGCATCTGCTGCAAAAAAACTTGCTGGATAAGTTGGCGGTTCATTCTGCTGTGGCGACCCTGGATTAATAAAGGGACTAAGCCGATAAGGAAATGAATGAATGAATTTAAACAACAATATTGAACAAGAAATTTACTAGCTGATTTAACAAGACATAATTTTGTTAAAGTAAAGCTTTAGTGTTACATTGAGTAAATTAGAATCATTTTAATTAGAATAACACAATACAAACATTTTGAGTCAATTAGTTGCAAAGAAGTTAGACTGACATATTGAAACCATGTTTTATCTACAAATGTGCTTTGTGTTCATACAACATGTTCAAAGCAGTTCAGGTTTACTTGATTGGATTAGATGCATAAAGGGTGCCACGATTAAATCATGTTCATTCAACAATTTTTTTTTTTTTGAGTGTAGGGATGGGTCTGCTTATGGATGTCTCTGCTTTTTTGGAAAATATTCCAATCAAGTATACTCTTCTGATATTCATAACCTCCAGACTGAGGTTGATTTATTAGGAGAAAAACCGAAAACCACGACAGGAGCTGGATGAAGTGTCTGAGGAGAGGAAAGTCTGGGGTTCGCTCCTAATCTACAGATGTTTTACGGTTAAGTGTGAACACATTTTGCTATATAAACGTAAATCAAGGCATCTAACCAGTGCTCTTGTTATTTCTTACAACTTATTTGTAACTTACTTGTTACTGGGGGTTCTAAGTCTGGGGTTCTCTCCTAAGACTGCTGCCCCCACGACCCAGCCCCGCATAAGCAGATGAAAATGCTGCTGATGATGATGATGATCATGAATTGAATTGAACTGGAAGAAAGATCAAGACCCTATAATGCAATTCAAAAACATAAATAAACTGAGGAAAATAAAATACAATCTTCAAATACACAAAACTGCTAATCTACAGATGTTTTACAGTTAAGCGTAAACACATTTTGCAACATAAACGTAAATCAAGGCATCTAACCAGCGCTCTTCTTACTTCTTACAACTTATTTGTTACACTTGTTGTTCCTAAATTGTAATGTTCAGTCATCATATAACCAGATTCAGTTTTAAAGCTGCTGTTTTACCACTCGCCGCTTTTATTGTTGACTTCTGTGTAATGTAATATCAGGCCCATATTGTGTGTTATTATTTGGGTAATGATTAATCAGAACTGGCTGACACAGATTCCGTTATCAGGATAATGCTAGAAGGAAACAGAGCTCTTCACATCTTTTATGTCATCACTTACACAGAGTGCAGGCGGGAGCAGAGGAGGAGGCACTTCTGCTATAAATGAAGAAAGACGTGATGATAAATCAAGAAAGAAACCTGCTCAAAGATGATGATGATGATGATGGTGAGGGATCACTAGAAGAACTGTTGGTGTTTTTCTCTCTCCATACATTCAGGAATAAGGATTCAAAGGAAGAGAAGCACATATAAAGTAAGTGCTTGAATATTTGAACATTTTTAGTCTATAATTGATATTTAATGGTCATTGTAAAATCTGAGTAGAAACAGATCTACTATTGTTAACTTGATTATTGCGGATGCTAAAATATTGCAGCATACACTTAAAAAAACTAAATTATAAGTTTTCCATATTTTGTGAATCATGTTTTTATTTTTTACATTTTTATTTCTGCTGGTGAGTTGCATTATGGGATCATAAGTCTTTCTTATTAAGCAACTTTTAACCTTGAAAAGTTAAAAAAGACTTTTATTTAGGGTTTTAATGGTTTAAATATACTTGTATATTACGCTAAAGAGTTCCCAGGGATGGGTTGTGGCTGGAAGGGCATCCGCTGCGTAAAAACATGCTGGATAAGTTGGCGGTTCATTCCGCTGTGGCAAACGCGGATTAATAAAGGGACCAATCCGACATGAAAATGAATGAATGAATTACGCTACAGAAACCTCGTAATAAACTGAAGCACATTTTCTGCTATTTTACAGACTCATTTCTCTAGATATTACTTAGAATACAATATATTACTTCAAATGTCAATAAAAGTCTCTTTATTAAATTGTCGAATTGAATTTTTTACATTAAAAGTTGACAAAGCAGAGATTAACATCCCATAATGCAATGCGCATAAACATAGATAAACCGAAAACTCCGAAAACAGAATACATTAACAGTGTTTCTCAACTGGTGGGGGAACATTTTCAGTTAAACAAAAGTTTAATTTTTAACTAATTTTGCTTATATAGGACTTTTATTTTGAAATGCGCACACAACAACCGTACCGTTTGACATGTGAATTTTCATTTAATCATTGCAACAAATATGTCGAAGCGCAAGTACGACCCTAAAAATGTAAAGTGTGGATTTAGATATAATGACGACAAAAAGGCTTAAAACCTCAGTGTGTCATATGTAGTGAGCATGAAATCTTCTAAATTAAATCGACATTTAGAAATCAGACATCCCAACACAATCTCACGGCAATTCGTAACTTTTTCATTTAGTGGCTAATTCGTATGAATTCGTACGATCTAATTCGTACAATTTAGTACGATTTGCTCATCCCCCGATGACGGTTGGGGTTAGGGGTGGGGTCAGGTGCCACACCTCCTTTTTAAAATCGTACCATTTCGTACGACTGAACTCGTACAAATTCGTACGAATTAGCCACTAAACTGGCAAAACGTAAAATACTTACGTTTTCTCGTGAGATCAGGCTGGACATCCCAGTTGCAAGGACTGTAAGTCTTACAGGAAGGCAACAGTGCTACCACTGAGCCACTGTGTTGCCTTCATAGTAAATATGTTATACTAACTGAATAAATTATACACTGTAGAAATATCCCCAAATAAAAAGTTTTCCATATTTTTGTGTGGTTAATGTTTTTATTGATGCTTTTGAATTGCTTGAAGAGCTTGATCTTTCCTCAGGCAACTGCTAATGTAAATAAAGTGACTTTATTGACATGTTTAATAGTTTAAAGTAATATATTGTCTGGGTTGGTCTTGTAAATTAGGAAAACCTAATAAACTTCTAGATTATTTATACTATATAATTTATTGTACAAGAGACTCTTTCAAGCTAATAAAACTGTCAATAAAATACACTTGGTCAAACTGCAGAGTTGAGTTTTCAAAGAGTGGACGGATAAAGCAAGTCATGACCATAAATGAAAGGAAAAGAGCTGTAAATCACACAACATGGAAACAATACGGTTTTTACTGAGTAGCGACAGAAAAAGACCAACACACTGTAAAAAAAAACATGGATTAGTAAAATGGTCTGAACAGTTGGTCGATCTTGATTGAGTGAGTGAGTGAGTGAGTGAGTGAGTGAGTGAGTGAGTGAGGGGTTGGTCGATTGGTTGATTGATTGATTTGTTGATTCACTGATTGATTGACTGGTTTGTTAATTGAGTGAGTAATTGTTTAGTTGGTTGGTTGGTTAATTGAGTGAGTATGTGAGTGATTGGTCAGTCGGTCGGTCGATGGATTGGTTGATTGATTAATAAGTTGACTGGTTGGTTGAGTGAGTGAGTGAGTGGTTGGTCAACTGTTGATTAATTAGTTTGTTGAGTGAGCGGTTGCTTTATTAATTGATTCATTGATGGGTTTGTTAAGTGAATGAGACAGTGAGTGAGAGAGTGAGTGAGTGTTTGGTTGATTGGTTGGCTGGTTAATTGAGTGAGTGTGTGAGTGATTTATTCGTGGGTAGGTTGGTCGATGGATTGGTTGATTAATTGATTGATTAGTTGGTTGGTTAAATGAGTGAGTGTTTGGTTGGTTGATTGAATGATTAAATTATTGATTTAATAATTGAGTCATTGATTGATTGATTGATTGACTGATTGGTTGGGTTATTGATTTAATGATTAAATCCTTCATTGATTGACTGGTTAGTTGGTTGATTGGTTAATTGATTGATTGATTGATTGATTGATTGATTGGTTTATTGATTGATTGACTGGTTATTTGGTTTATTGATTTAATGAATAAATCATTAATTGATTGACTGGTTAGTTGGTTGATTGATTGATTGATTAATTGATTGATTGATTGGCTGACTGGTTATTTGGTTTATTGATTTAATTATTAAATTATTCATTGATTGACTGGTTAGTTGGTTGGTTGGTTAATTAAGTGAGGTAAGGATTTATTGGTTGGGCGGTCGAAGGATAGGTTGATTGATTGGTTGTTTGGGTGGTTGAGTGAGTGAATGAGCGTTGAATGTTTGGTTGGTTGATTTATTGATTGATTTAATGATTAAAATATTGATTGATTTATTTATTGACTAGTTGGTTGATTGGAAATTGATTGATTTAATCACTGAATCATTCATTGATTTACTAGGCGGTTGGTTGGTTGGTTGATTGATTGATTGGTTGATTGATTAATTAATTTATTGATTTAATAGTTGATTAAATGATCGAATCATTGATTAAATCATTGATTGATTGATTGATTGGTTGATTGATTGCTTTATTGATTTAATAATAGATTTATTGATTTATTTACTGGTTGGTTGATTGGTTGATTTAATTGTTTGATTGATTGATTGACTGATTGATTGATTGGTTGGTTGATTGGTTGATTGATTGATTGATTGATTGATTGTCCATTTCAAAAGAAACAAAGTATAAAATTGCTAAACTTTTTTTGTATTGAGAAAATAGATTATCTAGTAAAACAAAGATTTTTTTAATTATATAAAAAAAAATGACCGCGTAGTCTAAATAACATTAACACAAAACAAAACCAGTTTGCGTTTCTTTATTTGTTTGCAGAAAAAGCTAATAAACTTCAGGAGCAAATGGGTCACCGCTTCTCCAAGCGTGGGCTGTCGAGCACAGACAACCTGCCCTCAGGCCAGTTTTCAGGCAGTGAAGAGGCTCCTCCGCATTACTCCTCTTACAGTAATGGCATCGATACGGCCATCACGGTGGATTCACCCACACGGAGATCATCTGAAGTTCTGAACTCGCGGCAGGACAGCAGACGACCCTCCATATACAGCACCATCGACGCGATGCCGCATCTGGAGTTTTATGCCAACGCCACCACCACGGGCCGCATCCGCCGCAGCCGGCCATCGCTGGAGACTCTGCGCAAAGTCTGCGATGTGAGTCTGCGGTAACAATCGCCAAATACTGGATCAGAGCATGCAGATTCAGCAATGCATTTCTGGTAGACACATTTTGTTTTCAACAGCACCATCTTGCTAGTTCAGTTACATTAAAGGAGATTGTATGGGAGCCAAGAAAGCTTAACATGTTGTGACGTGTAGTTACATTTTTTGAGAGGTGCATGTCGGCGTCACTGATGGCCACAGCGAGGGCTATGCGTCATCGCATAGGCTGAGCCAGAGCATACCCGTGCGCTTGACACAGAAGTATAAATCAGCCTTAAAGTATTAAAGCCACATGATATCCAAAGAAAGAAAAATAATGGAAGTCAATGGTAACCATTTTCCAACATTCTTCAAACTCTCTTCTTTTGCTTTCAACCTAAATAAAGAAATAATACAGGTTTTGGACACTTAAAGCAACACATTACCCATATACAGTTAAAGTCAGAATTATTAGCCTTCCTTTGATTGTTTTATTTTTAATTTTTTTTTTATATTTAAAGCAAGGAAATTTTTCTCAGTATGTCTGATAATATTTTTTCTTCTGGAGAAAGTCTTATTTGTTTTATTTCGGCTAGAATAAAAGCAGTTTTTAATTTTTTAAAACCATTTTAAGGTCAATATCATTAGCCCCTTTAAGCTGTATATTTTTAGTCTATAGAACAAGCCATCATTATACAATAACTTGCCTGGTTAACCTAATTAACCTAGGTATGTCTTTAAATGTCACTTTAGGCTCAATACTAGTGTCTTGAAAAAATCTATACAAAATATAATTGTTGTGTAAAAAACATGCTGGATAAGTTGGCGGTTCATTCTGCTGTGGAGACCCCTGATTAACAAAGAGACTAAGCTGCAAAGAAAATGAATGATCATATTATATACTGTCATCATGGCAAAGATAAAATAAATCAGTTATTAGAGATGAGTTATTAAAACTATTATGATTAGAAATGTGTTGAAAAAATCAGCTCCCCGTTAAACAGAAATTGTGGAAAAAAAATAAACACGGTGGCTAATAATTCTTTAACTGTATAATATACTTCAACTGTATATAGCTTGTACTATACACCCCAGTTTACTGTAGTAAAAGCTAAAGTATACTACAGTATTTATTACAGTTTATCAGTTAGCTATAGTTAATACTACAATACAGTATAATATATAGTTCAAAAACACTGTCGTATTTAGACTATAAATTACTATAGCATTTCTTTTTATATTTCATATTCATATGGGACAGTTTTCAGGAAAATAAAAATAGATCATCGTTTTCAAACACATATTTAAACAAGTCAGAAAAATGTAATTTAAATGACAATCAAAAAGTAAATCGTTTAGATTTACTGTAGAAATGCAGTAAATTGTGTAGAAATGCAGACTCTGGTGCTGATGTGACGTCTGAGTTTGCCAAGTAAATATTTGTAATGGATTTCAATATGCATGTGTTTGTTAGAATGGCGAATGTGGCGTTAACTCAGGCGACTCCTGCGCGGGAAGCATTGCAGCGTTACAAGAGACTGAAAACAAATCTGAGGAAAATGGAGAAACAGCAAAGAAGTCTGAGCCTGTTCGCTTCGGATGGGTCACCGGGGTCATGGTGAGAAACCGCACAAAAACACACACAGTTATATCTACAAATGGCTGTGTTCACAAAGCCGTTCTGCCGTTGTGTTTCAGATTCGCTGTATGCTGAATATTTGGGGCGTCATTCTGTTCCTGCGCTTGTCCTGGATCACATCTCAAGCAGGAATCCGTGAGCATTTTCATTATTTAAAGTGGAGCTATCGTTTTTACAAAGATAAATAAAATAAAATAATAATAAAATAAATCTCTGATGTCTCCAGAGTGAGTATGTAAAGTTTCAGCTCAAAATAGCACACAAATAATGTTTTATAACTCTCTGAAACTGCTTCTTTTAGGCGTTAAACCATTTTGTCCCATTTTGGTGACTGTCGCTTTAAATTCAAATTAGATTGTGCTCCTTTCAAAAGAAGGTGTGGCTATAAATACCTGTGTGTCAGCATAGTGGCAGACTCAAAAACAAGACTATTGTTGTTAAAAGAGAAAAAGTCAAAAGAAGTATGTCAGCAGAAGGCCATTTATACAGACTCTGCTGTTTGTGCTTCGTCTAAAACTCCACATCTATAATCCTCTTAGTCTATGATGACATTACCACAGGCGATTTTGAAAGCCCCTGCACGGTACTGTTACAACAGCGCTCATATCGTGTGTCAGTTACTGAAATGGCCCCCCACCAATTTGAGTTTCAGACCACTGCTCTAATGGCTAATGGACAGGACGTCTGCTTCTCACTCAGGGCTATTTATGCTAATGAGAGAGAGATGGTCAATAGTGGGTGGGGCTCTCCCCTCTGATGACACGTACAAAGGGAGAATGTCAATCAAAGTGTTTTTACCAAGAGTAATTATAAAACATTTAATTAATAAAAATTAATTAATTGCTAAATGTAGACTGCGCCCTCTAGTAGATTTGACATCTGAAACGTGCAACAAAACGTACCCTAAGTAACGCATTTCAGATTTTATAAATGTAGACAGCGCCCTCTCGTGCATTTGACATCTGAAAAGTGCGACAAAATGTACTCCAAGTAACATATTTCAGATTTGCTAAACGTAGACAGCGCCCTCTAGTGGATTTGTCACCTGAAACGTGCAACAAATTGTACACTAAGTAATGTATTTCATATTCACAAAAATGTAAACATTGCCTTCTAGTAAGTTTGACATCTGAAACGTGCAACAAAACGTCCCCAAGGTGATGTATTTCAGATTTGCTAAATTTTGACCATTAGAGGCTAGTTATATTCACACACTGCTGACACACAAGTCTTTTTCACTTTGTCATTGTAGTTGGGGGAAAAAAAAGCCTTTGTGCAAGGCAATAAAACAACTTCCTACAATAAAACCACAGGTTTACTTTGGGAAAGATAACGTTGCTCAAGAAATGTAAATGTCAAAAACTTTTTTTGTAGGAGTACTTCCCAGAAGAAGTGTGTCTAATCTCGGATGGCGGCTTATCTTTCTTGTGTTTTGTCTGTTCTGTCAGCTGGAGCTCTGCGCTGACACCGTGTCCCTGTTTTTTCTATTTTAGTTCTGACGTGGTTAATTATACTGATGTCTGTCCTTGTGACGTCCATCACAGCGTTGTCTGTATCTGCCATTTCCACCAATGGGAGAGTCTCTTCTGGTGAGTCACTTGTGTTAAAGCTGGTCTGATTGCTCTGATTTTCGGTATCGATGTGCTGATGTTGAATTTGTTCTGTTTGATGTCCTTCACTGATTTTGATATGATTCATAATGATGTGCTGTACAGTCTTGCTTTGCGATACATGTGGGTATTCACATGATCTATGAAATATGGATGTGTTTCCCTGTACTGAATTGCAGCTTGAAGGGCATCTGCTGCGTAAAACATATACTGGAAGAGTTGGTGATTCATTCCGCTGTGGTGACCCTTGATAAATAAAGGGACTAAGCTGAAGGAAAATGAATGAATGCAATATATGGATACATATTTTTAGCTTATTGCACTGAATAGCATATAGAAAGGCTAATGTGTGCTTTATATGCATTATCAATGTAAGATGGCCTGTCTTGTATTAATTTATAGTACATATTGACCTTATTCTAAAATGCAGAAGTGCGCCTGTTTTTGCGATTGTCTTAGAACTTCCGATTCAGTCTCCTATGGGAGAAATGACTAGGAATAATAAACATCAGAAAACAGTCAAACTACTTGCTCTACAAACAAATGTTTGCATGACTACACAGACCAAGTAGAATAATATAAAAAGGAAATATCAGTTTGCAACATCAAGCAGTGAAATGAGCAGTTTTTAATGTCTAAAAATGAATGGAAGTGAATGAGACCAGAAGTCTCCTGCCAAAAAGATTCAAATGGCTGCCCACTCGTCGGCGAAGAATAAGGTGAATACAGTATAGTGTTTTTGAATTAGATGTGTTAATTCTATAGTTGCTATAGTTAAAATACAACTATAGTAATATTACGGTGGCCGGGAAGTTCAAAATAACATTACAAAGTTTATAACACTTTTACAAAGCATTTTGAAAAACATTTTTACTTATCATCAGACACAATTACATAGGAAAAACAATTTACCAAGGACGAAACAAATTTACATTTTAGAAAACAACTTAACAAGACGCAAAAAACTATTACAAGTCCCGAAACAAATTTACAATTACAGATTCCCTAGGGAAAGGGAATGTACCACACCCCGGAAGTGACGTAGAATGTACCACACACCGGTAGTGAACCGGAATGTAACACACACACTGGAAAATATCAATAATATCAGCTTGTGTGTGACTTTGTAGAAAGGTTTCCACGAGTCTACAACTATAAAAATCATGGGTTGACTAACTGCGATAAAACATATTAGAGCTATTCTGAGAAAATATCAGCGTGAGAGTGTGTAGAAACATGTAAACGCAAGTACATGGAAACAATAGAAGCATGGCACATGTTGACTGATAAAGATACCAAAACCGATTTCTACTCGTACTGTGGATTAGCTTAGTTGGAAAATACAGTTAATATTTGTGTAGAACCTTTTGACTTGGGTTCGAATCCCGTTGATGACATGTCAATTATAATTATTTCTTTAGATTAATTTTGGTTCTGCCACCCAAATATTAAATCAACAATGTTTACACTGACACCAAGTAATAAGAATCTTTATTTGGTATGGGCATTTTGCTGTAAAAAAGTGACGAATCTGCCAATCTGCAAACGTTAATAGTTTGCACATCTGAAAAGGGGCCTCAGTTAACACGGACACCAGTTAAACCATAACACAGGCTTCCTTTAGTTTACTGTTAAGAGTCCTCAAGCAGAGGATTACATCCGGTAGACTGGACATTGTGTTCACGATTACAGCGTATGAGTGGATCTCCTCAAAATATTGAACACATTGATGCAGCATGTCTGACGTTTCCGTCTGGTCCGCGTCCTTTATAAACTCTAAACACCGACCACACGCAAAGCAAAACCGTGTTAAGCTGCTCATGTGTTTGCCACAAAACGGACAAAACAACCCTCGACCACAGTCCATGTACGGTCACCATAAACTTTGTTTACGCCATGTACTCCACAGCACGAATTTACCGCGCTCACCAGCAACAACAAAAACTTTCCCCCGCGTCACTACTGGTGTGTGGTACATTCTACGTCACTTCCGAGGTGTGGTACATTCCCTTTCCGTAGGGAATCTGTAATTGTAAATTTGTTTCGGGACTTGTAAAAGTGTTTTGCATCTTGTTATTTTGTTTTCTAAAATGTACATTTGTTTCGTCCTTGGTAAAATAGTTTTTCCTATGTAATTGTGTCTGATAATAGGTAAAAATGTTTTTCAAAATGTAAATTTGTCTCGAGCTTTGTAAAAGTGTTTCAAACTTTGTAATGTTGTTTGCACTTCCCGGCCACTGTATAATATAAACAATCGTGCCAAATCTGTAGTTTTCTACAACTATAAGCTGTTTATGTATTATACATTTGGCTGTAGCTTCTAGTTAAATGAACACTAGGGGGCAGCATAACGACAATATAATATTAACTTTTGTCCTTTTTTACCCTTATAAAATGTACAGGAACATATGAATAATGAACTAAGGATTATATTGGTGCAACACACCAAATAAACACCACAAATCAACGTACTACTGTCTATGATTTGTAATAAATATGTTTGCGTCTTCATCTTTCTCCATATGGACAACATTTTTGGCATGATCAGTTTGCTTCTGTCTCACTTCGTTTTAGCATGGTTAAGCACTCTTCTATGAAATATAAAAGCAATGTAAAATCAAGGTAAACTATGTGTTGCAGTGCACTTTATTGTCTGCTTTTGGAAAACACTATTGGTTGGGTTTAGGGAAGGGTTTATGTCAGTGGTTTGCTAGCTGATCTGTGCGACAAGTGTCTTCTCTTTGACAAGAAGGAAGGCTTTACATTTACAAAAATGTACTCCGAGTAATGTATTTTATATTTGTAAAAATGTAAACAGCGCCCTCTAGTGCAGTGTTTCTCAACCACGTTCCTGGAGGACCACCAACACTGCATGTTTTGGTTGGCTCCTTTGTCTGTCACACCCTTTTAAAGGTTTCTGCTAATGAGCTGATGATCTGATTCAGGTGTGTTTGGTTACGGGAGACTTGGAAAATGGGCAGAGCTTGTGGTCCTCCAGAAACATGGTTGAGAAATACTGCTCTAGTGGATTTGAATTCTAAAATTTAAAACAAAATGTACGCTAAGTAACGTGTTTCATATTCGCAAATATATTAACAGCGTCCTCTAGTGGATTTGTCATCTGAAGCTTAAAACAAAATGCACTCCAAACAACATATTTCAGATTTGCAAAATGTAGACAGCGCCCTCTTGAGGATTTGTCATCCGAAATGTACAATAAAATGTACCCTAAGAAATGTATTTCATATTTGCAAAAATGTAAACAGCACCCTCCTGCGGATTTGACATCTGAAACATGCAACAAAATGTACCCTAAGTAACATATTTCAGATTTACTAAATGTAGACAGTGCCCTCTAATGGATTTTTCATCGGAAATCTATAACAAAACGTACACTAAGTTATGTATTTCATGTTCCAAAAAATGTAAACATTGTCTTCTAGTGGATTTGACACCTGAAATGTGCAACTAAACGTACCATAAGTAACATATTTCAGATTTGCAAATATGTAAACAGCACCCTCCTGTGGATTTGACATCTGAAACATGCAACAAAACGTACCCTAAGTAACATATTTCATATTTGCAAAAATGTAAACAGCACCCTCCTGCGGATTTGACATCTGAAACATACAATAAAACATATCCTAAGTAATGTATTTTATATTTACAAAAATGTAAAAAGCGCCCTCTAGTAGATTTGACACCTGAAACATGCAACAAAACAAACCCTAAGTAATGTATTTCATATTTACACAAAATGGAAACAGCACCTTCTAATGGATTTGGCATCTGAAATTTAAAGCAAAATGTACCTAAATAAATATATTTTAGATTTACAAAAATGTAAACAGCGCCCTTTAGTGAATTTGTCATCTAAAACATACAACAAAACGCACCCTAAGTAACATATTTCATTCGCAAAAAAGTGAGCAGCACCCTCTAGGGGATTTGTCATCTGAAACATGCAACAAAATGTAGCTGAAGCAACATATTTTACAGCATATTCCTAATCAGGCTTGGCTGTCCAATCTTCATATTTCTCTCTTCATGTGTTTCCCATTAGGTGGCGCATACTTCATGATCTCCCGAACTCTGGGACCAGAGCTCGGAGGGCCCATCGGTGTGGTGTTTTCTTTCGCGAACGCTCTCGCCTGTGCGCTCAACACAGTGGGGTTTTCGGAGACGGTCAGAGATCTTCTCATTGTAAGAGTGATGCTACTGAACACCGTTGTTTTTTGTTTCATTAGTTTACGCTGAATATGATATGATGTATGTTTCTATTGCTACAGGAGAATAACTCTCAAATTGTGGATTCAGTCAATGACGTCCGAATTATAGGATCCATCACGGTCACCGCGCTGCTGCTCATCTCATTGGCTGGGATGGAGTGGGAATCTAAGGTACATTCCTGAAAATACACAACATTTCACAATACAGTAATCGTTATCTGGCTTTGGAAATGTAATTAAATTTAAATCATTTAAATCATTTATGTTTTCAAGTGTATTATAGCTTAATTTATTTCGTTCCAGGCTTTGGAATATTTTAATATAAATATTTTAAAGAATAATGATAGTAATTATAACAATAGTGACTATTGTGAATTTTTATCAAAAGACAGAAAGGTTATTCAGTGTAAATGTACTATGTCAAATCTACAATCACACGCCATATTAAAAGTCTAAAACAATCAAAACACTCATCAAATGTGGACTAAAATCTTTCAAATCTTTTCTGTTTTTACACAATTAAATCGACACCAAGAAATACTAATGATTTAACATGCAATACTTTTTGTAACGATTATTTATTTTATATAGATGTTTATGCTGGGATATTTTAACCCAAGTTTGTGTAAAATATGGACAAGGCAAACCAAAAGTCTATGTAAAAATAACCCAGCATTTGTTTTACAATCTAGATTTATTCATGATATAAACTAAACATGATATGTATTCATGTCCACAGTGTTTGTTTATTAGTTATTATTATATTATATATTATTATTTATATTTGTATTAATTAACAAACAATAAACTGTATTAATTAAAATGACATTTTATTAAAGTACTAAACTTTTATCAGAAATAGATCATTTTATGACTAAACATCATTGATTTTAAGCAGATATATTCCAAATTAAAAGTTCCTGTGATCTCTGCAGTTCCCGCTCACACCACTAGAGGCTCATAATGTGCCTGCTATGAAACTGAGCATCACAAAACAGCGAGTTTTCCTTCACGAAGTGTTGTTTTCATCCTCTCACAGACTCAGATCCTGTTCTTCTTGGTCCTCATGGTTTCCTTCACCAACTATTTTGTCGGCTCAGTGATTCCAGCTACCCCGCAGAAGCAGTCCATTGGTTTCTTCAGTTACCGCAGTAAGTGTTTGTTTACATCTGCTGGAGCACAAGCAATATCCAGCAAGTCATTATCATTAGCCCCCTTTTTTTAATATATATATATATATATATATATATATATATATATATATATATATATATTCGTTTTGATTGTCTCCAAAACAAACCCCTAACTTCACTTCACTTTACATGTCACTTAACTTATCTAGTCAGATATTATGTGCTGTGATCATGGCAAAGATAAATTAAATCAGCTATTAAATTAGTTATATAAACTATTATGTTTAGAAATGTGTTTAAAGAAATCCACACTTGGGAAATATTGGAAAAAAAATTACAGAAGCTAATAATTTTGACTTTAGTTTTTAACTGTACATGATTTATAATCAAATATTCATTAACTGCTTCCAGGTTTAAAGCAGTACAATGATGAACAAATGACATTAGACTTTTTAAAGCTAAAGCTTTTCTTTAACCCCCTCCAGAAATGTTCTTGGTAATTATATCTGATTTGTGTTTCCCAGGTGAGATCTTTGTGGAAAACCTCTTTCCAGACTGGAGAGGACCAGACGGAGACTTCTTCCGAATGTTTGCCATCTTTTTCCCATCCGCCATCGGGATCCTCGCTGGAGCAAACATCTCAGGAGATCTGAAGGTAATGAACATCAGCAAACATGATCAAACTTAACTCATGATCACCAAAGCCTGCTGCACAAAATCAAGTTGAACAAACTCTTCAGTTTCACTTGACAAAACGACACAAATCCAGTCTGTTTAAGAGCAGGTTAATTTGTCTGTCATTAACACAGAGATTGTGCAGCCAATCACACAACACGCAAGTGCAGCAAACAGCCAATCACTTGACACATGAGGGCAGCAAACAGCCAATCACACGACACACGAGAGCAGCAAACAGCCAATCACACAACATATGAGAGCAGCAAACAGCCAATCACACGACACACGAGAGCAGCAAACAGCCAATCACATGACACACGAGAGCAGCAAACAGCCAATCACACAACACACGAGAGCAGCAAACAGCCAATCACACAACAAATGAGAGCAGCAAACAGCAAATCACACGACACACGAGAGCAGCAAACAGCCAATCACACGACACACGAGAGCAGCAAACAGCCAATCACACAACATATGAGAGCAGCAAACAGCCAATCACACAACATATGAGAGCAGCAAACAGCCAATCACATGACACACGAGAGCAGCAAACAGCCAATCACACGACACACGAGAGCAGCAAACAGCCAATCACACAACATATGAGAGCAGCAAACAGCCAATCACACAACATATGAGAGCAGCAAACAGCCAATCACACAACATATGAGAGCAGCAAACAGCCAATCACATGACACACGAGAGCAGCAAACAGCCAATCACACGACACACGAGAGCAGCAAACAGCCAATCACATGACACATGAGAAGGTCAGATTTAATAAAGATATATTATTTAATATATTTGCAATACAGATTTAAAATATTTGCAATATATAGTCAGCACAATTTACTTCTCTGTTGAAGATTAAGATATATGATTAGCAGAAATATAATGACTTTAAACACATTTACAAGGCAGAAAAAAACAATAATGATGCAGCAAAAGTTTGAGAAGCACATATTATTATATCAATGCAAATCAATTAATAATGTAGTTTATAAAGGTGTTAAAGCCATTATTTAAAGACAATAATAATGATAAGTGAAAATTTTAAACTATTTAAATATAAACTATTTTAATAGGATCAAGATCAGATGTGAAAACCTCTAAAGCTCATCTAAAAATTTATTCTGAAATGAATTCACCTTCTTGAGCCTCCTCAAACTGTATGCAAACTTACCTTTGTAAAAACCCAAACTGCCTTTGCACAACAGACCTCTATATGACATAAGCACATGAATGAATAAATAAACGTTATATTTTGTGACATTAATTCAGTGCTGTGATGGTGAATGTTTCAGGAACCGGAGATTGCCATCCCGAGAGGAACACTGATGGCCATTTTCTGCACCACCATAAGTTATCTGGCCATCTCTTCAACTGTTGGTGAGCATTTGATCAAGATCTCCACTGAATCCGATGAGCTTATTCATATCATTCAATAATTAACCCTTTTTCTTGAACACTACATGAAATCTTCCTGAAAAAAAACGATGTTAATAGTAATGATATGATGAACACTGGGGATTCTTCAATATCAATCATACCAATTCGTAACTTTGTGTTTTAGTAGCTATAATTTGTATGAATTTGTCATTTGCACATTTTAGAATGATTTGCTTATCCCCCAATGACAGTAGGGTTTAGTGCTGGGGTTTGGTGCCTTTAAAAAAAAAAAAAAAAACATGCGGTTTTGTATGAATGAACTTGTATTAGTATGAATTTGTTCGAATTAGCTATGAAGCTGACAAAACGTAAAATACTTACATTCCCTTGTGAGATCAGGCTGGTGGAATTAATACAACGTGGCGATCTTCTTGGAGAAAAAGTGCAAAAAAAAAGATTTTAGACAAACTTTGAATGCAAGTTGAAACAATTTTAGACTAAATTAGACAAAATTACATTGTCCATTTATGTGAAGTTTATTTATAAACTAATTTCGCGAGGATCACGTGCTTATGATTGTCCACAGCTGGTCCCGCATTAGCTTACGATTGATTCGCCAATCAGACGATTCTTAACTTACTATAAATTACCAGAGATATGCCGCAATCACACTAGAGCAGCGATGTCCAAACTCGGTCCTGGAGGGCCGGTGTCCTGCATAGTTTAGCTCCAACTAGCTTTAACACTCCTGCCAGAAAGTTGCTAGTATTTCTAGTAAGAGCTTGATTAGCTGATTCAGGTGTGTTTGAATAGGGTTAGAGCTAAACTCTCCAGGACACTGGCCCTCCCGGACCGAGTTTGGACATGCTTGCACTAGAGTTTGAGCATGCAAAATTCTATTGTATGGCGCTGCGAAAAGGGGCGGGATTAAACAGGATGATTAGACGTTTAAAAAAGCGAGCGATTGCTCCATATTTTAAATTTCTGCACAGAGAGGTCATGTTTTGATCCTCAATTGGTCTCACGCAGTCAAGTGGTGCAATTTCGCATTTGAAGCATGACCTTGCGTTTCCGGTCTGACGCATTTGCGTGTGTATGAATGGAAGTCTATGGAGAGAAAAGTCCAGTGTGACCGCAGCTTCGCTTACCTCAGTATCTTTATCTTGACGAATCCCCCATCCCCCCCACCCCTACTCGCCTTCCTTTCTACATAGGCAACACGGCGGCCCAGTGATTAGCACTTTTGTCTCACAGCAAAAATGTCACTGGTTTAAAGTCCAAAGTCCTGTTCAAAATTTCAATTCAATTCACCTTAATTTGTGTAGCGCTTTTACAATGTAAACTGTGTCAAAGCAGCTTCACATAGAAGATCATAGTAAATTGAACAGTGTCAGTTCAGTTTTCAGTGTTTAAGTTCAGTTCAGTTTAGCTCAGTTCAGTGTGGTTTAATAATCACTACTGAGAGTCCAAACACTGAAGAGCAAATCCATCAATGCGCAGCTTTACATATCCTGAACCATGCAAGCTAGTGGAGACAGCGGCGAGGAAAAAAATTCACCAGTTAGTGAAAGTGAAGAATTAAAAAACCTTGAGAGAAACCAGGCTCAGTTGGGCACTACCATTTCTCCTATGACCGAACATCTCGTGCAGAGCTGCAGTCAAGGCGCTGGAGGCTGTCACCTGTCATTTTCATTAAATCAGACTATAGACTGTATTTTGTCTGAAATGCATTGAAGTGTACAGTAAATGTGTGTGTTTGCATGTGTATGTGTCTTTATGTGTGTGTGTCTCAGGTGCATGTGTGCTGCGTGACGCTTCCGGAAACATGAATGACAGTCTGCCACTGAATTTCACGGAGGCGTGTGATTCTCTGAGCTGCTCTCTGGGCTGGAACTTCACTGAGTGTGAGCAGAGCGGCTCCTGCTCTTATGGCCTCTCCAACAGCTTCCAGGTCAGGACGTCCAGCCATTACTAGAGATGCACCAAAACTAAGTGAAGTCTATTTGTAAACTAATTTTGAGAGGATCAGGTGCTTATGATTGCTTGCAGCCGACCCCGCGTTATTAAATTTATGATTCACCAATCAGACGATTCCTAAGCCACTATAAATACCCTAAGTTCCTTATGACAGCCATTTTCGTTATGAGGATTCCACCCCTACTCCACCTCCTTTTCTAGATGGGTAGCACAGTGGCCCAGTGGTTAGCACTGTTGCTTCACAGCAAGAACGTCCCTGGTTCTAGTCCTTACCAAGCCAGTCAACGTTTCTGTGAGGAGTTCACACGTTCTCCCCGTGCTTACATGGGTTTCCCCGGGTTACCCGGTTTCCTCCCACCGTCCAAAAACATGCAACTTAAGTTAATTGCCTAATCGAAGTCAGCAACATAGACATGGTCCTAGTAAGTGGTTATCTCTTGGGAGCAATCTTCTGTTCATTAGCTACTACAGCAGGGGAGTTAATTGAGAACTACCTAAGCTCAAACTCCCCTCTCACCTTGCAAACGGGAGGGAGCCCTGGGCTCGAGGATCTTATGAGCTCAGGGCTCTCTCCCAGGACAGCATGGCAAACAAGCTTTATAATCCATCATCAGCTAAGTGTGAACTCTTGAAAACTTGAAAAAGGAAAATGAGTATACACTTAACCAAAAAAACTAAACTGAAAATGCATTATAATGATTGTTTATTATCTTATTAAATAATATGAAGGGTGACACAGTGGCTCAGATGTCAGCACTGTCACCTCACAGCCAGAAGGACTCTAGTTCGATCCCCGACTAGGCCAGTTGACATTTCTGTGTGGAGTTTGCATGTTCACCCCATGTTGGTGTGGGTTTCCTCCGGGTGCTCCGGTTTCTCCCACAGTCCAAACACATGCGCTATAGAGGAATTGATTAACTAAACTGGCCGTAGTGAATGAGTGTGTGTGTGTATATGAGTATGCATGGATGTTTCCCAGTACTGGGTTGCAGCTAGAAAAGCATCCGCTGTGTAAAACATATTCTGAATAAGTCGCGACCCCTGATGAATGAAGAAACTAAGCCGTCTTATTGTATGTGGGGATAATGGAGTGGTTTAAGAAATATCACCCACGGATATTAATGTTATCTGTCGCAAGGATTAATAGAGGAAAATCTCAAATACTGAATTGTGGTTTTAAGATAAACATGGTTTATTAAATGATCTGTAAGTGCAACCCATTGTCTTTAGAAGTGAGTTTAGAAGATATTTTTGGTTTAGATTATCTCTCTATAATGCACTTAAAATACCATTACGTACTGTACCATGCGTTCATTCATTCATTCATTTTCTTTTCGGCTTAGTCCCTTTATTAATCTGGGGTCGCCACAGCAGAATGAACTGCCAACTTATCCAACATATGTTTTTAAGCAGCTGATGCCCTTCCATCTGCAACCAATCACTGGGAACCATCCACACTCACACTCATTCACACACATAAGCTACGAACACTTTATCTTACCCAATTCACCTGTACCGCATGTCTTTGGACTGTGGGAGAAACCAGAGCACCCGGAGGAAACCCACACCAACACGGGGAGAAACTAGACACAGAAATGCCAACTGACCCAGCTGAGGCTCAAACCAGTGACCTTCTTGCTGTGAGGTGAACGTGCTACCCACTGCACCACCGCGTCACCCCCATGCATTTATGGTTATACGTAATTAATATTTTATTTTGAATAGTTAAATTGATTATTGTTGGATATGGCTTCCACAATCTGCTTCCCTCGAAATCTAGGATGACATTTGTACATATAACATTTTACTTAAATAATAGATCGATTGAGTTTAGTTAGTTATCTCTAAGATCAGTGCTGCTATTATGTTCAGCAGTGCTGTGGATGTTTTCCCGCTTCATTATTAATTATTAATTCTGCACAATCCTCAGGTTCTGGTCCAGGTCTCTGGCTTTGGTCCTTTGATTTACGCTGGTATATTTGCAGCCACCCTGTCGTCCGCTCTTGCGTTCCTCGTCTCCGCACCCAAAATCTTCCAGGTGAAATAAACAGATAATAGTTAACATGTACAGTTTAAGTCAAAATTATTCACCCTCTTGTTTCTTTTGTTTTCTTTTTCAAATATTCCCAAATTATGTTTAACAGAGCAAGAAATGTTCACAGTATTTCCTATATTATTTTTTCCTTCTGGACAAAGTCTTATTTGTTTTATTTCGTCTAGAATAAAAGCTTAAATTTATTTAAATCATTTTTAAACCATACGTCATTTAAAGTCAATATTATCACCATAGGTAAATATTATTAGCCCCCTTAAGCAATATTTTTCTTTGATAAGCTGCGTCCCAAATGGCACACTATACACTATGCACTCATGCACTATGTACTTATGCACTTACACACTCAACAGGATAGTATATGTATGTAGTGTCGTCCCAAATAGAGCACTAATGTTTTTTTACTAAACGGAAATTTAAACCGTTTCCCTGATGACGTTTGACAGTTGCCAAATCAGTGAAATAAACGACCGAATTATCAAATAATACCTATTGTGGGTATTGCCGCATTCACCATCGGGAGGCGCTATAATCACTCTCGTAGGAGAATTTTGCTTTCACCATCCAAAATAAATAAAGTTATCCAACATGTGCGTCCGATAGCTCCGCCCCTTCCGCTACGTAAGCAAACCTGCGGTCGTTGAGTGCGTGAAGTGTCCATCATTACACACTACATTTTAGCGGCTGAATGAGTGCATCATCCGGGTAATTAAAGTGCACTTATTATTTTAAGAGTTTTCAGTGTGAACACACCACTTACACTATTTATACTACAAATTGGCGTAGAATAGTGCATAAGTATGCGATTTGGGACGCAGCTATAGTCTACAGAACACATCACTGTTATACAATGACTTGCCTAATTACCCTAACTTTACGCTAATTACCCTACTTAAGAGTTTAAATGTCACGTTAAGCTGTATAGAAGTGTCTTGAAGAATATCTAGTCTAATATTATTTACTGTTTTCATGGCAAAGATAAAACAAATCATTTATTAGAGATGAGTTATTAAAACTATTATGATTAGAAATGTGTTGAAGAAATCTCTGTTAAAAAGAAATTGAGGGGAAAATATACAGGGGGGGGGGGGTGAATACTTCAGAATTTAACTGTGACTTTTTGAGCTCATCAATGTGAAGCTGAGAATCTCTGTTTTCCTCAGTGTCTCTGTCGGGATAACATCTACCCATACATCGGCTTCTTTGGAAAGGGTTATGGGAAAAACAGCGAGCCGCTGCGTGCTTATCTGCTCTGTTACATCATAGCAATGTGCTTCATTCTGATTGGTGAGTTAGCACGCACGTGACGCATAATATTCAACCGGTATATGCATACAAAATTTACATTCTTTGCATACAAAGTTTACATCTCCTCTCTAATGAGTTCACCTTTACTGTCTTTCACACATCCTGGAGAGTAAAGGCTGATTTATACTTCTGCGTCAAACGTCGGCGTATGCTACGGCACTGACGCATAGCCCTTCGCCGTGGCCATCGCCGTCACTGACGTGCACCTCTCAAAAAATATAACTACACGTCGCAACGACGCGTAGCGTAAGCTCTGTGATTGGTCGGCTTGGTAGCGCTGATGAGTCTGGGCGGGACCGAGAGCCGCGCGAATGGCGCGAGCGATTGTTTTTCAAGTGTGGAGTCCCGTGAAGGAGGTCCGGATGGAAAGTTTTGTTTTGTGTTTACCTCATAGTTAAAGTTGTTGCACGTCTGCTGGTTCCTGCCTCAAAATGAGCGAGTTTGAGCCACTTGTACATCCCGGAAATGTTCAGGAAAAGCAAAAAAGCAGAGAAGAAACTCGACACAGAGGAACATTTACACCTCACTGCCAACTAGTGTTTCGGAAGTGTTAATGCAGACCAACAGAGACAGCGCGCAGAAGTATAAATGCACAGCCACGCGCGTTGCCTGCGCCGTGGGTTACGCCGGTCACTCGACGCAGAAGTATAAACCAGGCTTTATGGTGTGGAGAAGCCCCAAAGAACATGAGTTATTCAAACATAATCAACACAGACTCATTGTGATTATGTAGCCCGTATACATTTCTGGAGAGCACAAATTATGTAGCCAGAGGTTAAAAATCTTTATGATATATATCGGTCGGTCAGTCAGTCAGTGGACAGCGGCCTCTGGTGGATTTACGTGAGAAGAGCAGGCGCATATGGCACTCGCGAGAGATATTTTGAAAAAGCGTACACAGCGGCCTCTGATGGATTCATAAAACAAAAACGGCAAAAATGTAGCTCCTGGGACATATTTAGCACTTTACAGGAATGTATATAGGGGTATGGATCCATAATGAGCCTGGGTTGAACATAATATATGTAATATGTTATGAGTGTTCATTTTGTTTGGATGATTTCCGTGTACATGAACCTGCCAATATTTTTTTATTATGTCTTGATTTGGGAAACACACTTCTTAAATTAGAGTAAACATCTGTACTTACTATACCCAGCCTTCATTCAATATTCCTGCACCTTTGTTGACTTTTTTGATCGTACATGGGTATAATGGTGGAGTTTGAAAAAAATCACCCACAGACAATGTTTTCTGATGCTACAAATAATGGAGGAAAATAAATAAAAATAATTTTAAAGGGCACCTATGGTGAAAAATCTACTTTTCAAGCTGTTTGGACAGACATGTGTGTATATATATTGTGTGTAGAGCGTCATATTGGGCTGATATAAACACACACAGTCCTTTTTTTTCAATTTAACAACAAAAAAACGGTGGACCAATTGGAGCGGTTTTCAGACCGACCGCAACTTTACGTAGGAGTGCGGTCCCCCCGCCCACCAATATTGATTGACAGCCTCGCGTCACGATCATATCCTCAGTTCCTTGTTGCACGTCCACCATTTTCAGCATGAGTCAAAGCGATATCACTAAAGGAACACCCTTGCTCTGATTTTAGATGAAAAGCTCATTGGGCTCAACACAAGATCGATATTCTCCACATCATCGCTGTTATCGGAATTATTGCTTGTACCTTTTGCGTGGCGCCATGCATTTCGGAGTACTGGGCGTGGGTTTCTGTCGGCGTGTACGCAGTGGAGCTTCGGGTCAGCTGCTCCACGCTGCGTGGGTTTCTGTCGGGCTGCACGCAGTGAGCTTCGGGTCAGTGGCTTGGCGCTGCGTGGGTTTCTGTCGGCACGAATGCGGCGGAGCTTAAGTTAATTCAGTGTGTGTGGTTATAAGTCTCGGTGTACACGCTCGGCACTTTTACACCGAGACTATACAAAGACACAAATGATTTTGTACTCTCTGCTTGGTCTGTGTCCAACATGTAACTTACGGCTGAATGCTCATCCTAGCTTAGCTTAGCTTCTCTCTCTCTCTGTCTGCCTGTCTGTTGTAAACACAGAGCGTTGGAGCTCTTGGCTCCGCCCCCTTGTTACGTTGGGCGGGAAACCAAAACTGTAAAGCAACACGCCCCTAAACAGCAAACTTTGTCAACGCCCCCAACATGACACTTTTTAACACATTATAATAAAAACATCTGAACTGTGTGTTGAACTGAACCTAAACTGGCACACTCAGAAGAACCATAATCATAATAATAAATCATAAAAAAGGGGTAAACTATGTGCCCTTTAAACATTATTTTGCACATTTATATATATATATATATATATATATATATATATATATATATATATATATATTTAAATCATTTATTTATTTGTATATTACATATATTTGATTTTTTCATTCATATTAAGTAAATCATTTTTTTATTTTATTTTTTTTTAGAAATTTATATAATTTTAAAGAATTAAATTCATTAAAACTGTAATTAGTTACATATATATTTATAATTTACAATATTTTAAGTCCTTTGTTGTTATTATTGATAGTTTGAATTAAGTCTTTTTTTTACATATTTGTTTGCATGTTAATTTTTAGCTTTTAGGATTTGTTTTATTTTTTTTGTCTGTAATTTTCATAGTTTCAGTTATTTGGTTAATCGTAATATGTCTGTTAAATGTTCATTGTATTATTTATATTCCTACATTGGGATACTTAGTTTAAATTTGATAAATTTCCTCAACAACTAGCAACAACAAGTTTTTCTCTATTTATTTTTAACCTATCAGTACAATTTTATGCCATATAAGTTCCATATGTACTGTATTTTACTGTATATAATATTACTGTATATATAAATATGTACTGTATTGTACTGTATGTCCTCTTTCTGCAGCTGAGCTGAACACAATCGCTCCTCTGATCTCCAACTTCTTCCTCTGCTCTTACGCTCTGATCAACTTCAGCTGTTTTCACGCTTCCATCACCAATTCACCAGGTCAGTTCAAGAGAAACGCACATTCAGTAGAACATTTGTAACTTGTTCTTTTTTTTGCAATAACACATTTGATTGTGTGTGTATATATATATATATATATATATATATATATATATATATATATATATATATATATATATATATATATATATATATATATATATATATATATATATATATTGGCTACACTGTAGAAAATATCTGTAAATTACATTTAAAATCTGTAAAAAGAAATCGTTTATTCTTATTCTTATTTTTTTTTGTTTATTTCTGCTTTTAAATTGCATTATGGAATCTTGATCTTTCTTACAACAACTTTTACCCTTTAAAAGTTTGAAAAAAGAGGCTTTTATGATCATTTGTAATAGTTTGCAGTGCTATATTGTCTGGGTTGGTGTTGTATATGACATTACAAACACCTGCCAGCACATTTTATGTTATTTTACAGACTTATTTCTCTATATGATATTTGTTATACATTATATTATTACTAAAATGTTGATAAAAGTTACTTTGTTAAAGTGTAAAGTTGAATTTTCAACATCAAAAATCGACAGAGCAGAGATCAACATCCCATAATGCAGTTCACAACCGTAAATAAACACAGAACACATCACAAAATACAGAAATTTGCTAATTTGTAAGATATCATTTTTACACTATATTCACTGAGAAATGGATGAAAATCTACATTTTCAAAAGAGGGTGTACTCATTTATGCTGAGCACTGTATTTTGGGTTTATATTTAACCTTTCCATAAATGTACAGCATGAAGACATTTCTTTTTCTAACCTTAATGTTGTGTTGTACTCTTCAGGATGGAGGCCGTCATTTCGCTATTACAGCCCCTGGACGGGTTTATTCGGCGCAGCGATTTCTGTGGTGCTGATGTTCCTCCTCACCTGGTGGGCTGCGCTCATCTCTTTAGCCTTGATCATCTTCTTATTTGGCTATGTGGCCTATAAGAAACCAGGTGAGAGCTTAGGTCAGAGTGAAGGGAAATGAAACACTGTGTTTCACTCGGGATAACTGTGTTTTTGTGTTGTTGAAGAGGTGAACTGGGGCTCCTCTGTTCAAGCCAGCACCTACAACATGGCTCTGTCATACTCTGTGTCTCTGGCCGGAGTCGAAGATCACGTCAAAAACTACAGGTTACAGAAACACACTTCCTACATGTCTTTGTTTGAAGGATTCATGGTGCATTGTGTTACTATTTATATTGTTTTATTACTATTTAATGGTTTTACATGATTGTAAAGTGCTTTGTTTGTATGTCCATACACAATAAATGCACATTACTCACTTTATTTACTTAACCAACATCTAAATAGTGATGATTATGGCTTAAATAAATCAACACATTGACTAGCTTTGTTTTCTTGTGCATTAATAACATGATAAAATAAAAGTGTTTACTGTCACATCCATATATTGACTGATTGTGTGATCTCTCAGGCCTCAGTGTCTGGTTCTGACTGGTCCTCCGACTCTCCGTCCTGCACTGGTGGACTTTGTGGGGTCTTTCACCAAAAATGTCAGCTTGATGATTTGTGGAGACATTATCATGGTAAGAACCAGCTGTATGATGTTAAAAATGTTTCGACAAGCTCTTTATTCCCCCAGAACTGCTGTAAAACTAAAGCTGTGGGGATGTATTTACTCTTCAGGAGGATGAGAAGTCCATCATGTCTGAGTGTAACACTAATGAGATGCTGAAGTGGCTCAATCAGAGGAAAGTTCGCTCTTTCTACACCGCCTTCAGATCATCCAGTCTAAGAGAAGGAGCTCGCCATCTTCTGCAGGTTACTAAAAGCACAACTCTCTCTCACTTTAAAATGACCACATTTTAGTGTCACATTAAAAAATTGCAAGAATAAAATTTTAATAGTATAAGAATAAAGTCCAAATATTACAAAAATAAAGTCAAAATGCAGAGAATAAAGTCAAAATATCATGAGAACTAAGTCAAAATATGAGAATAATGTCGACATATGAGAAAAAAAGTCGTAATTATATGATAATTAAGTCAAAATATTATAAGAATTAAGTTAAAATATTATAAGAATGAAGTCGAAATATTAAAAGAATAAAGTCGAAATATGACAAAAAAGTTGAAATGCAGAGATTAAAGTGAAAATGCAGAGAATAAAGTCGAAATATTATGAGAATAAAGTCAAAATATTGTGAGAATAAAGTCAAATTGTTGTGAGAGAGTCAAAATTATGATTATAAAGTGAAAAATAAAGTAAAAAAATTTGAGAAAAAGACGAAATGCAGTGAATAAAGTCGAAATGTTACGACAATAAAGTCTATTTTACAATAATAAAGTTAAAATATTATAAAATAAAGTCAAAATATTATGAGAATAAAGTCGAAATATGAGAATAAAGTCGAAATATTATGAGAATAAAGTCAAATTGTTGTGAGAGAGTCGAAATTATGATTATAAAGTGAAAAATAAAGTAAAAAAATTTGAGAAAAAGACAAAATGCAGTGAATAAAGTCGAAATGTTACGAGAATAGTCTATTTTACAATAATAAAGTTAAAATATTATAAAATAAAGTCAAAATATTATGAGAATAAAGTCGAAATATGAGAATAAAGTCGAAATATTATGAGAATAAAGTCAAATTGTTGTGAGAGAGTCGAAATTATGATTATAAAGTGAAAAATAAAGTAAAAAAATTTGAGAATAAAGACTAAATGCAGTGAATAAAGTCGAAATATGAGAATAAAGTCGAAATATGAGAATAAAGTCGAAATATTATGAGAATAAAGTCGAAATATGAGAATAAAGTAGAAATATTATGAAAATAAAGTCAAAATTTTGTGAGAAAAAAGTCGTAATTATGATTATAAAGTGAAAAATAAAGTCGAAAATATTATGAGAATAAAGACTAAATGCAGAGAATAAAGTCAAAATGTTACGATAATAAAGTCTATTTTACAATAAAAAACTTGAAATATTATGAAAATAAAGTCGAAATATGAGAATAAAGTCGAAATTACGAGAATAAAGTCGGAATTACATGAATAAATTTAAAATTGAAAGAATAAAGTTGAATAAAGTTCAATATTACAACTTCATTCTCGTAATTTCAACTTTATTCTTGCAATTTTGTTGGTATTCTCATAATTTTGACTTAATTCTTGTAATTTTGACTTTATTCACGTAATTTTAACTTAATTCTTGTAATTTCGACTTTATTAGATATATTACGAGAATTAAGTTGAAATTATGAGAATGAAGTCGAAATTACAAGAATAAAGTCGGAATTACAAGAATAAAGTTAAATAAAGTTATATTTTTACTTTATTCTCATAATATTTCGACTTCATTCTCGTAATTTCAACTTTATTCTTGTAATTTTGACGTTATTCTCATAATTTTGACTTTATTCTTGTAATTTCAACTTCTCGTAATTTCGAATTTATTCTTTAAATTTCACCTTTATTCTTGTAATTTTTACTTTATTCTCATAATTTATTCTTGTAATTTCGATTTAATCAGATATATTATGAGAATTAAGTTGAAATTACGAGAATAAAGCCAAAATGTTTTGAGAATAAATTTGAATTTAAGTGAATAAAGTTGAAATGTTTCAAGAATAAAGGTGAAATTACGAGAATAAAGTACACAGCAAATTCATCAGAGTTAAATTCTCGGTGTTGAAGCATTTGAGAGTAAAGTGTTGACGTTAAAGAGTTAGATTTTGATAAATGAATATAATAAGAGTTAGAATTGTTTTTATTCAGTGCGAAATCAAGGAGTTATCTTTTCAACACTTGGTGGTGTTATTTCCAACATCCGGGAATTCATGCAGCCCCAGTCACTGAAGAATTTTCCAGACACCATTTTCCATCTGAGGTTTAGAACAGCAACTGGTGAGTCAAACTACCTAAATGTTGGTATTTTACTGACTTTCTTTAAGGAAATACAGTTGTACACATGTTGTTAAGTTAATAACTTTAGAATGGAGTGACAATTTTAAACTTCTGTGGTTCATTCATGGTCGTTTGTGTATCTAGCTTAACTGCATTACTATTGACTTCTTTTCAAGAATGTTTTTATATATGCTCACGCATACATAGTGCATAAAAACATCAAATGTACATGTTCAGCACATTTCTGTCACGCTTAATGCCATTTTGTGCGTTGTTACCCATCTGTAAAATAAAATCGACACTTCTCCTTTAATTCTAAGCAAACTAGCGAGGGAATCCCCGGAGCCGCCTAACGTTAGCCTACTCTGCCCGGATGCTAACGGCAACACAGGACGGTTTCCATAAGCTCTGGAGAGTTTCTAAAACATATCTGGTGAGTAAATGAACATATGCTTACTTGTAAAAGGCTTCCTGACTGAAACAAATGATTGTTTGTTATTCGTGTACGTTAATTTGGTTATTTTAAACACCGCGGCCCTTTTAAACTGGTTCATTCGTGGCCGTCCATATACCGTTAGTCCATAACTTAGACTCGTGTGATAACGTACGCTTGAATTATATTAAGTGTTGACAACCATTAAAGTCGGAATGTTAACATTAATGTCTTTAAATGACCGCGTTTGCACTTTATCAGACATTTAACGTTACAGAAGTCTCCCGGAAGTTGCGGGACTAACGTTAACGTTATCCCGCAAATGCACGGAGAATCCCAGATGCCCAAGTAGATGCCCGCAAATGAATGATCATCTCCCGGAAATCGCGCGTCTCCGGCCCGGTCATTAAACACTTTGCACGCCCCTCTCCACCGCATCCCTCCCAGCTCTTCAGGTACGTCGCGCTCTAGTCACCCCCACCGCTCTTCAGGTACGTCGCGCGCAGCTCATCCCATTGCTCTTCAGGTTCTTATCTCTCCCGCTACCTCCCGCAAATCAACTCTGTATCCCCCGAAAATGACTTTTCCCAACTCGGGATGTCTGACGTTAGTAAGTTAGGCTATTTCTGTTGTCAGGAACATCTTAGTCAAGCTTTTTCTCCCGCATGATATTGTGCTTAAAACTATAGACTAAACTTAGCATGCACTGTACACAACATTTCCGTTTTATTAGTGCGTTGTAAACAGCCACCTGTCTGTAAAATTAATCAACTGATTCATATTTGAGCAGCCTAATGATGATACAGGTTTGATTTGTAGATTTATTATCAATAATCAACATCTGAATCAAAAGATATGTGAAAATGTGTGAGGCATACTTTGTGATGTTCATCTCTCTTTTTTATCTGAAGGTTATGCATATGTGTTAGATACTAATGTGTTGTTGTTTTTTAACAGCCACAGTTCTCTGTACAATAACACAAGACCCTGTGACGGTGGCTGATTAGAGACGGATGGTGTATTTCCAGAGTTGGTGAAATGACCAAGCACATCTTCTTGGTCATATGTGGTGATAATAATGAAGGTATGTTTGATAAAGTTCTGTATTTGTTTCACAATAAGCTGAGAGGGTATTAGAGCATTAGAGAATAACAAATGACATGAAGGTGATAAGTTTTGTATTGTGGGTGAACTTTTACTTAAATAATGTTTTGCTGTTGTCTTTGCACTTTTTCTCTTCTGCTTATCCTAATATTTTAGATTATATTTGGACCTGAAACATCTGCTAGACTCCAGTAAAGGTGGTGTCAATACTGGACCTGAAAGGGCCTAACAAGTTGAATCTGGTAAAGAAACACGCACACACACACACACACACACACACACACACACACACACGCACACGCTTACAGAAAACTGTAAGTTTATGAATATTTTTTACACTGTGGCCAATATTTTGGGGAAGTCAGCATCACTAAATGATATAAAAGATTTTAAGCTCCTCTAAATTTTGCTCCAAGTGTTGTGTTAAATTCAGGATTCTGGACAGACAGCTGTCTGTTTTTCCAGTTCTAGTCATAGTGGTTAACCTAATTGTTTTTGGAGATCCAACAGTGATGTATGTGTTTTTTCTACTTTTCCATATCCTGTCACCTCAACCAGCTGGGAGAGTCAAGTTGTGGATCATCATGAAGATTTTCAAAAGGTGAGTTTAGATTTCTTGAATGTTTTATTTACTTTAAATGTTCTTTTAAATATATCATAGAATTTGATTGCAATTTTATTTTCAAACATTTTTCTTAGTCATGCTGGAGTCTTGAAGAGTTCTCAGATGAGCATCACCCTATATCCGTGCATCAGGAACCACCAGATGAGCGATCAGCAGCTACTACATCGTCATGGATAAAAAGGTCATCCTGTGGCCGGGAAGCACTTCATTCACAGGACATGCTTGATGAAATTTCCTAGCTCCAGTTTGTTTTCACATAAGTTTACAGCATTTATACCTTCATTTAAACTGCTGTGTTTGATGTGGAGGACCAAGGAAACACCAGAAGTGAAAGATTTGCACGCCAAGTTGTTTAAAATGTAATTTCAGAAGAAAACTATGCGTTCAGAAGAAAACTATGAGTGACGCTATATTGAACTTTCAAATTGCTCTGATGAAACAAAGTTTGGACATCATATTTTGTTGATACTGTCTGTACTAATAAAACATTTAAAGCATATTTGACATTGTTGCATTTTAAAAATTGAATGAATTGTTGAAGTTGTGAATGTTTTCAAATAAAATGTCTTTATTTTGTAATTTACAGTCTATTTGACCTTTTTACCATATTTACACTCAAGAGAGTTGAATAAAATAATATATTACACCAGGTGGTGTTAAATATAGTTACATTTTTTAACTCTGCCCTGAGTTAAAATTAACCCTTACTTCGGTGTCAATGTGCCAACCCTTTTGAAAGTGTTGATTTAAGTCTGTTTTGAGTGGACCCCATGAGACACTTTCAAAGTGTTGAAATTAACACCCATAGAGTTGTTTTGGGTCCCCATATTTTGCTGTGTAGAAATTAAAATATATTACGAGAATAGTCAAAATATTTTGAGAAAAAAAGTCGTAATATTGTAAAATAAAGTAAAAATAGTATGAGAATTAAGTTAAAATATTAGAATAATAGTCATTGTGATACAAAATTAAAGTTGTAAAGTTGTAATGAACCCTGAATTTCATTATGTGTCTTTTTCTTCTTGTTTTCATACTTGTTTGTCTTCTGTAAGGCCTCTGGTTTGGGAAAGCTGAGGCCGAATATACTGGTGATGGGATTTAAAATGAACTGGCAGGAGAGCAACAGCCAAGATATCGAGGACTACATCAACACCATATAGTGAGTGACTCTGAGTATAACTCACAGTCCTGTTCTGAAAGAAATTACTCATTGTATTGAGCTGAAAAGAAATGAAGCACATTTAACCAGTAATGCTAAAATTAAACAAACCCTCTGTGTGAAGTGAGAGATATTAATACACCTTAAAAGTGTTTATAATAAACTAATAAATTAACATTTACTCTAATCTGATTAATAAAGTCTTCATTGACAATTAAAAACTGACAGGGAGATTTGGCGGGAAAGTAAAAAAATTGGAAAGAAAAGGTGAAATTAGAAACAACAGAATGAGGGGGGTCATCTGAATTATTAGAAAACTCAAAAATGTAATTAAACAAATCCACACTCTTTTAAAAAATGTTTAAATAATATAAGTATTAAAGTATTATAATTATTAATGTAAAAAGTATAAAGGTTAAAATAATTTAGTGGTTTACATTTGTGTACATTTGAAAATTTAAATAAATGTGATCCTCTTTAGTATAAAATGTTTAGTATAAAGTGTTTAATACTGTTGTAAAGATGTTTATACAACATTGTATTCATTCTATGTGTGCTTTCATTCATAAATTGAATTATTTTATTTAGCTAATCTGCATTTAATTGCATATTTGGAGGAAAAATATTAAATTTGGAGGGAAAATGTGAAATTTAAAATCTTAATTCTCTTTATGGTTTGAAATGTTTTCCTTCAGATTCACTTTGTTAGAAACTGAAATAAAGTATGTTTCTTTCTTTTTTTTCTCAGTGATTCTTTCGATTCCAACCACGGCGTGTGTGTCCTCCGCATGATGGATGGACTGGACATCCGAGATGAGTTACAGACTGAAGGTACATTGGGTTTATCAGTACACAGCGCATTTCTATTGCCCTTCCAATTGAAAATGTACATTGAAAATACGCCTAAAGTAAAGGTTTTCATTTTGAAAAAAACTCCAATAAAACTTACAGTAGTATATTACAAATATAAACAGTTGAAGTCAGAATTATTAGTCCCCCTTTGATTTTTTTTTTCTTTTTTTAAATATTTCCCAAATGATGTTTAACAGAGCAAGGAAATGTTCACAGTATGTCTGATAATATTTTTTCTTCTAGAAAAAGTCTTATTTGTTTTATTTAGTCTAGAATAAAAGCAGTTTTTAATTTTTTATGAACCATTTTAGGGACAATATTATTAGCCCCTTTAAGCTAATTTTTTTTTAATTATCTACAGAACAAACCATCGTTATACAATAACTTGCCCAATTACCCTAACCTGACTAGTCAACCTAATTAACCTAGTTAAGCTTTTAAATGTCACGTTAAGCTGTATAGAAGTGTCTTGAAAAACATCTAGTCTAATATTATTTACTCTCATCATGGCAAAGATAAAATAAATCAGTTATTAGAAATGAGTTATTAAAATAATATGTTTAGAAATGTGCTAAAAAAAACTTCTCTCAGTTAAACAGAAATTGTAAAAATAATAAACAGTGGGTATCATAATTCAAGGGGGCTAATAATTCTGACTTCAACTGTATATATTTTTCCTTTCACTAAAGAGAAATCACAGTAAGAGTCGAGTGATGTGACATGATGCATTGAACCCTTATTCTCATTAGTTTACGTGAGTTTGTTGCCTCTTTACAAACATGCACATCAAATTGCATGTAAACAGACCCTATGCCTCCTCTGGGTTTCACTGAATATATTTAATCCGTATATCCTGCATTTTGCGTTATTATGAGCTGTGACCTCTCTGTAGTCTTCCTAAGAGACTATTCATTTTCAAAATAAGAGTGCCACATGCATAGTGTGTTTAATACAAACTTAGATCTACTTAAAAACAAAGTAAAAATATATCATTGTTGCAATCACACTAGGAAAAGTTGTGACCAATCAAACACAGCTTGGAGTGTGTATATTAATTATTGCAGATGGATAATTGGTGTTTTGTTCCAATTGAGACACTTACAGGATTTACATGAGAATGAGGCTCACAGTATGTCATTTGCATGTACTGAAATCTTTATTATTCAGCTACGCCTAGATATATTTAGATTTTTATTCTCTGGCACTTTAATATAATCTTGGTACAGTTGTCAGTTTACTTATGCATATGTCACCAAAAATTAAATATTACTCACTGTTTAATATTAATAAACACTAGGGATGTAACGGTATTGTAAATACCGTCATACCGCAATATTACTTTTTTTCGATATTACCGAAGTCGCATGACTCGGTAAAACTATAGGTCTTCTGAGAAAATTTGCTCAGGCGAATGAAGCGAACGGGAGGTAGCTTAAACTACATTTCCCATCAGCCCAGGCGTGGCCATAATCCTTTGCGGTCTGCTGTCGCTACAGATCCAGTAATGCGGAAATGCAGTGTGCTGCTAGTAGCGGAGATGAAAAAAAGATGGAAATGATCGAACCTAAAGCGGGTGTTGTCGCCGCGCGCGTGCTGAATAGCGGTGTTGTCGCACGCGTTCTGATCAGCTGTGTTGTCGCGAGCGTATTGTAAAGCGCCGAGGGGGGGTTGAGCGCGCATTCTCAAGAGCGGTGTTGTCTACTGAAGGGCTGGACGGAGGTTGTGTCGCGTCGCGGGGGCACTTTTGATCGATTTGGAAGGGCATTTTCTATCCAAGACTAAAAAGGGCATGTGCACTGCACAGGTTGAGCCCTATGTGTGCACGTGCCTGCAAGTTGGGGAATACGACTAATAGCAGTCATGGGGACTGCAGAAACACAGCACACTGTTCAGATTGATGCAGACATTGACTTGTACCGCAAAGAGACCTCTATCTCACTCATGGTTTGTCTTCTCAAGTGGGGGAAAGACAATGCACAACGTTACCCACTGCTGTCAACATGGGCCAAGTCATATCTCTGTCCCAGAATCCTCAGTCCCAAATGAGAGGGTTTTTTTCTGTTGCAGGGGACATTGTAAATACCCAGAGATACCAGCTTTTACCAGATTATATTTATATGATAATTTTCCTTTAAACCCATCTCTATCTAAGTAAGTGAGTGAGTGATTAAATGTTGAATGTGATGAGTTTTCAACAATACTAAATTGAAACTATTTTTTTACATGGTTTAATATTTTTTTGTTATTAAAATTGAAGTTCCTGTTTCAAAGCTTACAGATAGATGACTAATTTGTATGTCATTGACACTTTTGGCAATTTTTTGGAGTATTTTCATAAGTTTTGTTTTTTCCTGTAAATGATTCAATAAATACCGTACCGTGACATTCATACCGAGGTATTACCGTACCGTGAAATTCTGATACCGTTACATCCCTAATAAACACTGTTTATTAATTGTTTCCATGAGTTCCAAGAAACTTTCCAAAAAAATGTTTTGAAGAATGTTGGAAAGCTGTGACTATTTGACATCCGATTGCCACAAAAGAGGTCCGTTGGAAGTCAATGGCCACAGCTTTCGATCGCGAAAGTAGTCAGCTCACCATGACGTTTAAAGCTTGTATACTGCCCAAACAACTCCTTTGGTGTAAATGTTTAATGCATTAACTGTGATATGAGTAAACCTAATATCTGTCACCACATTTCTAGATTGACTTATCAAGAAATGATTAGTTTGAGTCATGAATTGTTGGATAGTTTTTTTTTTTTTTTATCGAAACACTATGGCTAAAGATTTCTGCTAGTTTGTAATGGAAAATGGTGTGTGTGTGTTTCATTTTACTACTTGTGAAATATTGTGTTAAATGTCCTGTGTTTCTAACAGTCAATCCAGTGTTTGAGCCGGACGAACCCATCGAGTTTGATCAGCAGAATTCAGACTCCGATTCAGGTGAATAAGCCACACAAAATCATTGATTCAGTAAATGTAATATGCCTTATCTCACTTCACTGTGTTATTCATTCCTGTAGATGTGGACAACACAAAGAACATTGCCAACGATCAGATCAAAACGGTGTTTCAGACCAAACAAGGAAAGAAGACCATTGACGTGTACTGGATCTCTGATGATGGAGGTCAGATACTGTAATCATTACAAGGCATCAGTCATTATAATCATAGGTTTGATAACCCTTAGTTAACACTTAATAGTTGATTAAAGCTCAGTCTCTTTATCTGGCTCAGGTTTGACTCTGTTGGTGCCGTATCTGTTGACCAGAAGAAAACGCTGGAGACGGAGCAAAGTCAGAGTGTTTATTGTTGGCGAACAGAAAACTATGGAGGACGAGCGCAAAGAGTAAGAATCGAGATTCATTACAGTCATACAAATCATCCAGATTTTAATATATCAAAGGATGATAATATATATGAGTTTTTAACACTAGACTATCATTTCTTAAATGATCTGAATCATCACAATCAATTCTAAACATTGTAAATGTCTGTCAGAATCAGCAGAATCATTCCTTTGAATCACTGATCATCGAATTATTTACACTTGAGCTGCGGTCACACTAAACTTTTGCGACTTTTAGACGCTTCAAAAAGTGAGCGATTGCTTTATATTTTAAATTACTGTCCAGAGAGGTCATGTTTTGACTCTCGATTGGTCTCACACTGTCAAGTGATGTGATTTCGCAAGTCAGAGTTCACCAAGCTTGAACTTTGCAATGCAGTGTACTGTGAAACTTGACGCATGAGCTTGCGTTTGCGGTCTGACGCAATCGCGTGCGTTTGAATGGAAGTCTATGTGGAGAGAAGTCCAGTATGACCACAGCTTCAGATACTGCTTGATGCTATTAGCAGGTTTGGCATGCTGTCCCGGGAAAGAGCCCTGAGCTCAGAGATAATTGGTCCCAGGGCTCCCACTTGGTCAGTTAGCTTTTAAGGGTGTCCGAGATGAGGTAGGTCATTAGAGCTCTCCCTGGTAAAGGAAAAGGAGGAGATGGGGTGGATGGGGGGATTCTTCTAAAATGACAACAAGGCAGTAGGGTGAAATCAGTCTATGTATTGCAGGTTAGGATTGATCTAAATGGGTTATTGCTGATTATGGATGGTAGACCAGCCGTGGTCAATCAAATCACATTCTCCTCTCAAAATTAGTTCATAAAACTTCACTTGAATCATCAGAATCAATAAAATTATAGCATTTGTTTTTTCAAAGCTTCAATCTTCCAAAAAAAAAAGACTCAAGTCAAATTACGTGTGCTATGATGAGTGAAAAGCTTATGATTGGTCCGTCCCGCTCTGAAACGCCCTGAGGGTGGGTGGTTCCCGTTCTAGTTTCTGTCTGTAAGCAGGCAAGAGCAGAACAGAAGAGTGATCTGATTTGCCAAATGATGGGTGGGGAAGGGACTTGTAGGCGTCCCCAAACGGAGAATAGCAATGGTCACGCAAGTTGGTGGTGATGTGTTGATAGTATTTTGGAGCGATTTTCCTGAAATTGGCGTTGTTAAAGTCCCCTGTAACAATAAACGTTGCCTCCGGATGACGTTGTCTCTGCTCGCTTATGCTCCTGTACAGTTCCCTGAGCGCCTGCTCTGTGTTGGCTTGATGTTGAATGTATACAGCTGTAATGATAACAGCTGTGAACTCTCTTGGTAACCAGTACGGTCGACACCGAAGCATAAGATATTGCCATCCCTCATCAAATTCACCCAACAACAAATAAGCATTACTGTTAGTCAGAATAAAGTGTTCATTGTAACCTAATTTCATTGTTTATACATTTTAAATCATCGAGTTTAGAATAAGGAAATTGTGAATCACAGAAATAACGTGAATGAAAACAACAATCATAAAAACAATTCAATTTTAAAAGTATCTGCATCGTGATTACGATTGTATATTTTACATGCACGACTCTCTGCAGTGATTTGTTTTTGACTTTTATCAATGAACTGATCTAATTTCAAACCTCTTCTCATGCTCAGGATGAAGACTTTGCTCCAGCGTTTCCGACTGGACGTTCATGATGTGATTGTGATGACGGACAGCAAACGACAACCGCTTGCCAAAAAGTAGGTCAACTGCAAACATTTCAAACAGTTGATCATTTCAAAACAGTTGCACAGCGAGTGTTTTTCAGCAACCAATAAACTTCCGGTGTAAGGTTAATGTGACTATTTTCAATTTAATAAGGTTCCTTCAACAGCATTGATGTTGTAATGTAATTGAAATGCAATCAGTTAAATAGACTTAAGTGTTAATTTAGTTGTTTAAACCTGTTTAAATGCAAGAGCCGTCAATAGAGGCAAGCTAGCGCAGAAACCACATTAAAAATAATAGTATAAAATACATTTCTGTTTTTTAAAGACATGGTGCGGAAAAATGAGACTCGCTTTCTATCTTATGTTAATTAGGCAGTGAGTTTTAAAGAAATCAGATCTTAAAAGTGGCGATTTAGTAATGGTATGACAGTTCACTTGAAGCACAATGGGCTGGCTGACTGGTAATTAAAAGTGCATATACATAGCACAGTCAGTAAAGTAAGCGATGCAGTCCGCTAATGTTTTCCCATGCTAATGAAAATTTGTTTTGATTAGCATGCAGCGTTTCGAGGACACTGTCGCCCCCTTCAGGCTGAATGACGCACAGCTGGACGAGCGGACGGTGCAGCAGCAGAGAATGGAGAACCCATGGAAGGTCACGGACAAACAGATGGACGCGCTGAGACTCAAGGTGTGTGTTTGACCTGCTTACATAAATATCACCATTTGATAATGTTCCCAATATTTTAGGAATCCATCAGAATTGTCCATTGAAATATTTAAAATGTCCTCAGAAAAAAAAAATTCTGTTTTTGATTTATTGTCTTGTTTCTAGTCCAAATATTCAAAAGTTGCCAAGAAGCATTTTCTAGACAAGCACAAAGTGTTCTCTTGTTTTAAGAAATAACATGTCAAAATTAAGGCAGCATGGTGGCGCAGTAGTTAGCACAATTGCCTTACAGCAAGAAGGTCGCTGGTTTGAGCCTCAGCTGGGTCGGTTGGCAGTTCTGTGTGGAGTTTGCATGTTCTCCCTGTGTTGGTGTGGGTTTCCTCCGGGTGGTCCAGTTTCCCCCACAAGTCCAAACACATGCGTTATTGGGGAATTGATGAACTAAATTGTCCGTAGTGTATGTGTGTGTATGAGTGTGTATGGATGTTTCCCAGTGATTGGTTGCAGCTGGAAGGCATCCGCTGCATAAAACATACGCTGGATAAGTTGGCGGTTCATTCCGCTGTGGCGACCCCTGATTAATAAAGGGACTAAGTTGAAAAGAAAATGAATGAATGAATGAAATACTAGGCTTACACTCATACCACCTTGAGCACGGCTGACCTCATCTGATCTTGGAAATTAAGCAGGGTTGGGCCGGGTTAGTACTTGGATGGCAGACCGCCTGGGCATACAAGGTGCTGTAAGCTTATGGGTATACTTAATTTTATAATAATATTAATAATAATAATAATAATAATAATAGTACAATAATAATTAATTCTTCAGATTTTTTCTAGCCTCTTTGGTTAAAAAATAAAGCCTTTTTCGATGGATTATTTTCATTATTTATGGTGGCATAGCAGTCAAAATAGTATGAAAATAGGACAAATGAGCTAATTTGGGACAAATTCTGGACCTTTGTCAGTGAGGGGTGGGTCTTCCGAACGAAAGTTATTTAAAAATGTCAGAAATAGGGGAAGGGAGGTCATGTACTGGACAAGTCCATAAATATACAGGACGTCCAGGCTAATGCGGCCAGTTAGCCTTGAACCTCAGGGGCAGATTTTCATCTGTTAGGAAGTCTTTATGAACATGTGTTCAATATTTTGCGATGATGCCTTTTCTGCCTCCTTGCTCTTTTCGACCAACAGCGTAACTCACCATGGACGTTGCGTCAAAGATTCAAATGTGACCACTCAGTGGGTCATGTCACGTGACTCGCGTCACAATATTGTGGCTTTGAGGCTCTATGGGATTCTAATTACTGGCCAGAGTTATTTAAAATTATGCTTTATTACAATATTTATTAAATATAAATATATTATATGAATTATATAATAAATATATTATATAATATTAAATTAGCGAGGCTGTGGCGCAGTAGGTAGTGCGGTCGCCTCACAGCAAGAAGGTCGCTGGTTCGAACCTCGGCTCAGTTGGTGTTTCTGTGTGGAGTTTGCATGTTCTCTCTGTCTTCGCGTGGGTTTCCTCCGGGTGCCCCCACAGTCCAAAAACATGCGGTACAGGTGAATTGGGTGGGCTAAATTGTTCGTAGTGTATGAGTGTGTGTGTGGATGTTTCCCATAGATGGGTTGTGGTTGGTAGGGCATCCGCTGCGTAAAAAAAAAAAAAAAAAACTTGCTGGATAAGTTGGCGGTTCATTCCGCTGTGGCGACCCCGGATTAATAAAGGGACTAAGCCGAAAAGAAAATGAATGAATAAATACTAAATTAAATAATTAAAAGGACAAATTCTGGACATTTTGGCCGACCTAAAATGTTAATAAATCTTAATAAAAAGATGTTAATAAAATACAAATTAAATTTCTCTGCTGAAAACTAGCTTGACCAGCCTAGCCAGGGTGGGAGCCCAGTCAAAACCAGCTATGTCCAGCTTAAACCAGGCTGGTCAAGTTTGTTTTAGCTGGTTTTAGCTGGTCATTTTCCAGCCTGACCAGCTTAAACCAGGCTGGACATGGCTGGAAACCAGCCTGCAAATGGCCAAAACTCCTTTAAAACCAGGCTGGTCGACCAGCTAAAACCAGCCAACCATCCTAGGCTGGTTTAGGCTGGATTGATGTTAATAAAATACAATGTAATGGGTAATTTATTAAACAATATAAATAATACTCTGCATAATTACTGTTTACTGTAAACACTATGGGAAGTTCTATAACTCATGATGTTTCCTTCATATTTTGACAGTCTGAGAGGAAAGTGCGGCTGAACGAGATCATTCGGAGGAATTCCCAACACGCCGCTCTGGTTCTAGTGTGAGTATTGACCGTCATACCATTAACCATTGTCTGCTTCTGGTCAATATGTAATTCATACACAAACAAAGCACAATCTGATCATATTGGAGCCGCATCAATCATTCACATTCAAAATAAAAGGCTTATAATTGGAGAGTAAACACAGATGTTAATTATTAATGACCATGTGTGTGTGTGTGTGTGTGTGTTCAGGTCTCTCCCCGTCCCTCAGGCTGATTGTCCCAGCTCTCTTTATATGGCCTGGTTGGACACGCTGAGCTGCGGTTTACACTGTCCAGTCCTGCTTATTCGGGGAAACCAGCAGAACGTCATGACCTTCTACTGCCAGTAAAAACACCAACAGCAGATTTACTGTTGAAGTCAGAATTAAAAGCCTTCCTGAATTATTTGCCCCTCTTTAATGGATTTTCAGCACATTTCTAATCATAATAGCTTTAATAACTCATCTCTAATAACTGATTTATTTTGTCTTTGCCATGATGGCTGCACATAATACTTGACTAGATATTGTTCAAGACACTTCTATACAGGTTAAAGTGAGATTTAAAGGCTTAACTAGGGTAATTAGGGTAAAGTTAGGGTAATTAGGCAAGTCATTGTATTACAGTGGTTTGTTCTGGAGACTATCCAACACAAATATTGCTTAAGGGGTGCTAATAATATGTAACTTAAAATCTAGCAAGCCGAAAAAATAAAACAAATAAGACTATCTCCAGAAGAAAAAATCTTATAGGAAATACTGTGAAAAATTCCTGAATCTGTTCAACATCGTTTGGGAGATATTTGAAATAATAATAATTAATTCACAGGAGGGCGACTAATTTTGAGTTCAGCTGTACACACTCTTTCCGGCTCTTTCATGCCATGCACTACATGACTTTATTTTCATTTTCATGCACTGCTCAGTTTAGAGATATCGGGGTACTGTTTCATAACATGTGTAGCCCCTTTCACACAGTGATACCGGTAAATATCTGGAAAATTTACGGAACGACTTTACCGGTATATTCAAAAAAGCGCTGTTCACACAGGCGAGGACGTTACGGAAATTTTCCGGAAAAGAGCATTCACACATCCATTCCAAAATACCGGTAAATTCTGACATCATTCACCACAAATGAGCTTTAAACGGCTGCGCTTGTATTTGTAAACATCTGACTAAATTACAAACTCTGTGGATGATCAATATTGTGAACAACTTTCGCAGGATCACTTTCGCATGTCGAGATGTTCATAATATGTGCGTGTACAGGCACACGCAAAGCTTGAAGGTAAACAAACAACGGCTTATCATGAGCATCTCATCGATGATTATTTACACAGTTGGCATTAAGAAGAACATATAAACGTGATCTGACTAACTTCTAGCAGCTAAATGTGTCTGGAAAAATATTCAAAGGCTTTTATCCTCATAAACCGCACGGACGTAAATGCGTCTGACTGTTGTGATTGGCTAAAGCAGACGTCTCACGTCAGCACGTTCTAGACGTGCACGCGCTTATTACAGCAATCTTCCTTCTGCATTCACACAGCGCAGCATTCCGGCAAATTACCGGTAATGTTACAACTTCTCTTTCCGGAAAATAGCCAGAACGAATTTACCGGTATTTTCAAAAAGGACCTGTTCACACATACAACCTTTCCGAAAGGTCTGTATGTGTGAAAGGGGCTTGTGTCTATGTTTAAATAAACGTCCTAAATATTTTTTTCATTGTATTTTTGACTAAACTCACATTATTATATTTTTTGCTTGACTTCTGCAGATTTTACACGCAGCGGATTATTAAATTGTATCTATTTTCTGTACTGTGAAGATTGTGCATGGAACATTTAGCTGATCGTACTTTCTTTTTTTAATTTGATGATTATTTTCTGATTTATGCAGTGGTAAAATTAGATCTCTAAAATCTCTTCTGTAAAACTATTGATTAAATATGACAGTAAAATTAAATGGTAATTTTGAGCAGGGCTTTTATACAATGTTCAGATTTTATCTTCTGGAAATTTCTGCAAAGTAGTGCATCTTTAATTAGATAAAGGTTCATGTGTGTATTTAAATGTAATATTTCAGAAAAGGTTAACCAAAAAAAAGTGTTTATCATTCTTAATGTAACCAATTAAATGGTAAAGTGGTGATGATACATATATATGTATATAACTATAACTATATACACACACACACACACACACACACACACACACACACACACATATACAACAGTTCCATCTGGTTCTTGAATCTGATTGGCTGATAGCCATGCAATATTTTGCCTGTAACAGCACACAAATGCCTCTTCACCCTTGTGTATTACTCCGCCCACATACAGTAAGCAACAAGCAGAGAGACACTACAGTTTGACAAATATTCCTGCTGTTGGGCAACATAATATACTTTTGAGACTTTTTTTAGTTGAGTGTAGTTGTTTAGATTGCAACAATGCAGTTTATTTAAAAGGATAGTGCCCTTTTAAAAATTATTTATAATTTCTGAGAGATGTGGCTGTATACCTGTGGCCTTGTGCCAACGCATGGGTAGTAATATATACAAATATAGTAGTAAATATATATATATATATATATATATATATATATATATATATATATATATATATATATATATATATATATATATATATATATATATATATATACATACAGTTGAAGTCAGAAATATTAGCCCCCCTGAATTATTAGAGCGCTTATTTTTTTCCCCCCAATTTCTGTTTAACGGAGAGGAATTTTTTTCAGCACATTTTAACACATTTCTAAACATAATAGTTTTAATAACTAATTTCTAATAACTGATTTATTTTATCTTTACCATGATGACAGTAAATAATATTAGACTAGATATTCAAGACACTTCTATTCGCTTGTTAAGTAGTGACGTGTTTGTGACGTATGTATACTGCTTCCGGGTCCAAGCCTCTATTCATTTGAGTGGAGAAATCATTCGCTTATGATCACGTTTTATTCCTGTCACACATTAAAGTTAATTTTATATAGAATCATAGTGTACACAACAATCTCTGGGCTTGCTGCATAACAAATATCAAAAATTTAACAATTTATAAAAAAATGAATCACTTTCTGGCCATCAGATATTAGGCATGGACATATATACTGCGATCGTGATTTTCGAAAGCATTAAATCACTTTGTAAACGTTTATTATTACCATTTTATGAGTCTCCCCATTCAGTTGAATAGATCGCTTGGACCCGGAAGCAGCTTCGCGTGACGTCACACTTTACAAGCGGATACAGCTTGAAGCGACATTTAAAGGCTCAACTAGGTTAATTAGGTTAACTAGGCAGGTTAGGGTGATTAGGCAAGTTATTGTATAACGATGGTTTGTTTTGTAGATAATCGAGAAAAATAAAGCCTAAACACCTAAAATGGTGTTTAAAAAATTAATAACTACTTTTATTCTAGCCAAATTAACAAATAAGACTTTCTCTAGAAGAAAAAATATTATCAGACATACTGTGAACATTTCCTGAATCTGTTAAACATCATTTGAAAAATATCTAAAAAAAGAAGAAAAAAATTTGAATGCGGCTAATAATTCTGACTTCAACTGTGTGTGTGTATATATATATATATATATATATATATACAGTCGAAGACAAAATGATTAGCTCTGATTTTTTTTTTTTTTTTTTTCCATGTGCTGTATAAGAGAGAATAATTTTTTATATTTTTTAATCTTCTGCGGCTGAACTGTTGTCAGTTTCAAATTTTAAGATGAAGTCATTTGGTGGCAGGGCTTTTAGCTGCACAGCACCACAGTTATGGAACTCCCTGCCATTAGATATTCGTCAGGTGGATTCTATCTCCAATTTTAAATCCCAGGTTAACACCTTTCTGTTCAGAATTGCTTTTAATGACTTTCTGGATTAATACTATGTTAAATGACTCTTTTTTTCTTGTTTTTATAATGTGCCTGTGACACTGTAAGGTGTCCTTGAGTGCTCTGAAAGGCGCCTATAAATAAAAGGCATTATTATTATTATTATTATTATTAGTAGTAGTAGTAGTAGTAGTAGTAGTAGTACACTGAAAAAAGTGTTGCATGCAGAACTGTTGCAAACAATTTATTTGTGTTGAATTTAAACAAACAAATTAAATTTAATAATGTTCAACTTAATTTGTTTGTTTAAATTCAGCCCCCAAAAATTGTTTACAACCACTCAACGTAAATAAATTTAGTAAATACAAGGAATCATTTTTGAATAATTTTTTTTGTGTAGTAGTAGTAGTAGTAGTAGTATTAACAAATTGTTAAACTTTTTAAAGTAATTTTTTTAAAGGATTTTTTTATAACCAATTTTTTTTCCTTTGCCGTGATGACAGTTCATAATATTTCACTATTTTGCAAGACACTAGTATTTAGCAGTGACATTTAAAGGCTTAACTTGGTTAATTAGGTCAACAAGGCAAGTCATTGGACAACAGTGGTTTATTCTGTAGACAATCAGAAACAAATAATTGACCTTAGCTATAAACTTTTTTTTTATTCCAGCCAAAGTAAAAGAAATAAAACCTTTATCCAGAAGAAAACTATAATATAAAATAGTGTGAATGAATAATTTTGTCTTTAACTGTATGTTTTGTAGACTGATATGATTTGTCTTAGTTGTTTTGCAGTAAAATTTCTCTTTAAAGAGGTACAGCAATCTTAAGACACTTTAAAATGTCCGGAAGTCATTTCTAAATTCGTCTAATTTTACGATTGGGTTGTAGTTGATTCAACAAGTATTTTACATGCATGCATTTTTTCTAATGCCTTTGTCCATTGAATTTATGTTCTACATTATTATGCAAGTTCACTAAGAATTAAACCCCTGATCTTGGAAATAAACAATCCACATGTTGAATTTTTAATTTTTTTTTGGACGCACATTTAAAAAATGTATTATTTGAGGTAAAGAAAAAAAAAGTCCAATGTGTCAGCATGAACCAGATATTGCAAAAGATTGTCAGTGTGATGGCATAAAGGTCAGTTTGACATATATCCAACTGAGACTGAATATTGAGTAGGGGGTGGGGCTTTATTTATTGGCTCCACCTTTCATCTTTCACTCACTGCAAACTAACGGTTCAAGGGGCATGGCTAAGCATATTTCAGCCAATCAGAGAAGGACCCTTTTCACATATTTAGATTAAATATTCACAAAACTGTTTTTTTTAATTAATTGTTCACCTTAAGACAAACAATGCATGCTAGCACAATTAACTTGGTAAAATTTGATTTCATGCTGACTTTATGTATGTTGAATGTGTTTTTCACAATGATCATTTTGCTTATAGCTCTCATTTGTGAACTAATTATTGTTTTAGAAATGTATGGTGAAGGGATGATGTTGCTGTATGTTCAATGTGAAATGTCTTCACTTGTTTATTTTAGATAATAATTGTTTGGAGCTTTTGAAGGGGCAGCTGCATACAGAAACACACAGACACTCCAGTGCAATGTTTATTTCATGTGTAATTTATTCTGTACAAGTTGTAATGCTTAATTATTTCCATGTGATTGAACAGCGTTTATAACTTGTTTCATTTTGAACTCGGTGTAATGAGACAGTCAATGAAGATTGAGATGTTCATTGAGCTAAATTGTATTTTTCACATTGAAAAGCAGATCTGGAACCGGTAATTCTCAATAATCTATATTTATATGGTGTTTAAAAAAGCTGAATTATTCATTACAATGTTTTGCTTAATGAAATGTCATTTTACAAAGCTTGAACAAATAAACATATTTTTATGCTAATACAACTGTGTCTTGTTGAAATCGCATTAACCCCCAATGTA